AGAGCAAGAACAAAAAAGTTTTCTTTGTGAAATGATATATCTGATACAAAGGGGAAAAGTTGCTGACAGATTTTGTTCTGAATGAATTTAGGCATAAAATTTTGAAAGTCAAAGTATAGGTGAAAAATTCTGTACATAGGGGTAAATGTTTTTTTTTTTTAGCTCTCTGAAATCTGAATTAATTCCTAGGGGTAACTGTAATATTTTCTTATTGGACAAGTCAGAAAAATACTTTCTGATGCTCCTTTTTGTTGGTTCTTCGATTTCAAGTTGGGTCTTAGATCTGCTGGAGAGTTCCAGGTGATGCTTCCACCTGTCATCTGGTTGGAACCTCTGAAAAACCTTCAGAGTTCACTGCTGTGTGATAAAGTTCTGGTTTTCTGTAATACATTTTTTCTTCCTCACAAATGTGGAAAAGGCCAGCTAATCTTCAGATATCTGATGGGTTGCAGTCGATGTACACAAATGACTTGAAATATTTGTGAGAGAAATTAGAAATTCTCAGTTGCATAGTTGCATTTACTTCATATTGATTGTTTATGATGTACTGTATTTTATTCATTTCCTTTTGTCTTCATAGAGAAGAACAGTCTGCACAGGTTCAGATAGCACTGGATACTCAAGTAGATTTTGTGGTTTCTTTGTCTAAATGCAATTCATACAGTCAATAATAAGCATTTAATTTATCCCTATTTAAATAATTCTTAAATCCTTGGAAGACTGAAATACTTTGGATATAGTAATCTGTCTTTTGTATTTTAGGGAGATGTGTCTGTGGGATGTGAATGATGGCAGATGCATAGAGTTTACTAAGCTAGCCTGCACACACACTGGCATTCAGGTTGGTATTTGTGTATGATTTGGTGATCCTATTCTGCATTGTACAGCATGGATAACTATAGCCAAGTTCTTGAAACGGGAATGAGAACGTTCACTTTATCAGTAAGTGCCCTGCATTTGGAAATAGGAAATAACAGCAGGTGGGAGCCTCTGCAAAAGGTCCTTCATCACAATCCAGCAGCAATTTTTGAGTATGTAGCCACTAGAATGTATTTATGTAATAGTGATCTTGGTTAAAAATGAAATGGTTAGTGTCTTGCATGGAGTGTAACTTCTGTATTGTGTTAATGTCCACTTAGTTCTACCAGTTTATGGTTGGGACTCAGCGTGAAGGGAGACTGTTATGCCATGGACATTATCCAGAAATTCTTGTTGTGGATGCTACCAGCCTTGAAGTTCTTTATTCTCTATTATCAAAGATATCACCTGATTGGATCAGCTCCATGACTATCATTAAATCCAACAGAACACAAGGTAAAGTTTTTTGTTGCTTTTATTGTGGCTTTGCCTTCCTGCAAGGGAATACATTTGCTTCAGCTTTTCCAAGTGTCCAGAATATTGCTTCTTGCTTCTTTCTGCCACATGGGGGATGAAGGTGATCTTGGGCAGTACCAAGCACTAACTTTCTGTAAAAGTAACAGATGTGTAGTTATTTCTATCTCTGAAAACACAGCAGGAGAAGACTTGATAACATTGTGAGTATTCTTTCTGTTGCTGTTACATCAGATGAGAGTCTTAGTTCTGGCCAAATTTAAATGCTTTTCATGAGCTGAGCATAAAATATAGCTAAATCAACTCAACAAGTTGCTCGCCTGGTAAATTGATAAGTTGATTCACGTTCTTAAGGAGTTCCTATGGAAGACAGGAAAAATCTTATTTTTTTAAATTTTTTTTTAATTTTTTTTTTTTTTTTTTTTAAGTAAAAGCACATTCTACTAGAGTGAAGAGTGGTAACCTGCTTTCAGTGAGAGTTGTGAGAGTTAGGAGAGCACTGTGATAGTAAAAGCCTGAAAACTGGCACGAGACTGGAGGAAGAGATGCAAGCACTCTAAATGCTAAGGCTGTCATCTACATAACTAATGTGATGTGTGGTATACATTGGGATCATTTGGCACGTGAGAAATTGTCAAAATCACAAGATATGTACATGCCATAAGTATTTCTTTTGATTAGTAGCTTTATAAAAAGCACTGGCATAACATTTTCAAAGCTATTATTACAGAAAATACATTTAAAATCCTGGTGTGGGAATGCTAAATCACTGTCCCCACAACATCAAAGTTACTGGAATAACTGGAAGTGAATTCTGATTTTAAGTGTTGTCGGGACTGATTTTACTTCTTATTTTGTAATCATTTTTATATTTTGTAATCAAGAATTTGCCCCTTGGCTTGATGGAATTTTGCTCTACACTTGACTTTCCTGGTAGAAACAGGAATTTCTAGATTTGGCACTGGATGTGGATTTGGAGTGTGTGGTTTTCTGCTCTTCTCCTCATCACCCTCTATGTATTTCAAGCTCTACATAATCATTAGGAGTGCTTGCTTCTCCATCATAAGACTTGCACTGATTCAGTGCTTTCACATTTGTGTGCATGTGCTTCTGGCATGCTGTTTTGCAAAATAATCTTTTGATTCTGAAGCAAATGTTGCAAAATGGTTTTGCTAAACTTCAGTGTTGAAGTATTGTCAGATGTGTTTGTACTCAGATGCACACAATGTGTAACAAAACAAAGACCTTCTTGTACTTACCAGCTTATTTTTTGTTTTTTTTCTCCAGAGGATACTGTTGTAGCAGTTTCAGTGACTGGCATCCTCAAAGTATGGATAATAACATCTGAAGTTAATCGCATGCAGGTGAGCAAAGGCTTTTGTATTACTGGTATGTCCCAAAAGTCTTAAAGGGTGTAGTATTGTCAGCTTTTGATAACGAGAATTTTTTTCTGGGACTCTGTTCTGATGAAGATATAAATAAGAAGTGAGATATGAAGGTATCTGAAAGACTTACTGACCAGAGAGCATAATACTTCCCAGTATTCATTATTAATTATCTACAGCTCAGTCTTATTGGTAATTTCTGCTTCCTATGTACTGATCAGTAAAACTCTTAAAGGAGATTTAACAAACATTTCTTGTGAATGATCTATTTAGAGAAACATCTTTAATTAAAGACCTACATTATTATACTTGTTTAGCAACTATGGAAAAAATAACATTATGACACATAAATAAACTAGTTCCATTTTTATATTTTAGGAGCGTTTATATCAGGAAAGCAACCAAGTCTGAATTAGCTTGGAAGACCAGTGTAATGGAATTACTTGCTTATAGTCCTGTCAGACATTAGTAGTGTTTTTTGTTTTAAAATTTTGAGATTAATGAAACCATTTCCTATCAAGGCATTTCTGAAAACACTTGTCATGTAACTAATCACAGTTTAGCTAATATCGCATTTAACAGTTATATTAAGAAAGTAAAACAGTGAGCAGTGAAGAGTATATAAGTAAGAAACAAAGACATAACTAACAGGCGTTTATCACAACATAGGCCGTTTGCAATAGTGAGAACCTTGAAAGAAAGAGCTAAGCTAAATCTGCTTAGTTTCAGCTGGCTGACGAGAAGCCAGGTAATTCATCGAGGATGATCACACTAAATAGCGCAGCTAATCTGTCCAGCTGAGGATGAGGAGTTCACTAGGTTTAAGTCACAATGGAGAATGCTGCATGCTCTTGCAGATCTGAAGAGGAGTAATAGAAGGCTTGGTTTCTCCTTAGAAATCTGCCATCTGGCATCTAATGAAATTGCCTAGTCCCTTTTACATCATGTTTTCTGTCATGTTCTAAGTTCATTTTTAACTAGGAAAAAAATCAGCTGGGTGTCATCTTGTTATCTGATTGCCATATGCATGTTTTCCCTGTGAAGAGACTGCCAGTTTCAGGGGCTGATTACTGTCGCACTGTCAGAGCATTTCAGTGGTTTGTCCTGTAGGACAGCATGTTTTTTCCTCATTTTTGTAAGATGGGGAAATGTAAATTCAGGAAGATAGTGTTATGCTGAAGAGATCTGTAACAGAGTAAGGAATTGTAATCTGGGACTTGTGAGCACTTGTTTCTGTTTTAACTGCATGGCTGTCCTAATAGTCTCTGCCTCTGGTCTTGTTAAGGTTGTTTTTTTGTTGTTTTATTAATGGAAGCCTGCACTGTTCTAGTTGATTCAATCAGGCGTTTATAACCAGCCTGGTAAGAGTGCTCAAACATACACCAGATGGCATGATTCTGTGGCTGGAGCTGCACAGACCCAAGAAAACAGGAGGCCATGGCCAGAGTTGGCCGGTGGGGAGTTGCAGCAGTGTCCCACCTTCCTGCAAGATGTCCTGTTTCTCATCACTTCCTTCTGCTCCTCTTTGTATATGCTGCTCACATCTGCAGGCTTGACTTCTTAATCACAGAGCTGAGATTTGAAATAGATTTTAGCAATAGAAGTATCAAAATGAAGCCTAAGTACTTGTTTCAGTTAGGATTCACAGAAATGCTGACCAGCTCATAATTTTAGCCAGATTGAAACCATCAGTAAATGCCTTTTTTGAAGTTGTTAGTACGTAATAAAACTTGGTTTAGTTGCATTTTATTTAAAACTGTATGTGTGAAGTTAATGTTACTCTTTTTTGTTTTTGTTTTTTTTAGGATACAACACCAGTATTTGAAGAGGAGTCAAAACCTATTTATTGTCAAAACTGTCAAAGCATTTCTTTCTGTGCATTTACCCAGCGGTCGTTGTTGGTAGTGTGCTCTAAATATTGGAGGGTAAGGAAGGCAGCTGAACAAAAGCTATCTTATTCTCAGTGCAGTAGCTGATGTAATTAAATTGCCAGTAAGACAATCAGAGCAAGTTGTTCTCAACCCTTTTAGTATATCTCTGTTGAAACCTAAATTCATTGCTGCATAGACATTTTAATCTGTGATTAGCTGATGATAGACTTTTCTGTTTCTTCTCAGGTTTTTGATGCTGGAGATTATTCCCTTTTATGCTCAGTCCCAAGTGAGAATGAACAGACCTGGACTGGTGGTGACTTTGTGTCAGCTGATAAAGTGATCGTGTGGACAGAAGATGGTCAAAGTTTCATATATAAATTACCAGCCAGGTACTCAACAATGAAGCACTGCTTTTTTTTTTTTTTTTTCTTAGATGAACACATGGGAAATTTTGAATAAACACTGTGTATCTTTGGCTTGTATTATGTTACAAGATCATGTGGAAGTTATGGGAGCTATTATTTCATGAACATACCTGAAAGTACATGTCCCCTAAATATGTCACATCAAAGCAAGGATCTGTGAATGAGGTTGTTTCAGCCAAGGTTGCCCTACTGTTTTTTAGTATTTTAATAACTCTTTCACTTCTTTATGGTAGCTGTTGGAGAATGTGTAATGGCAAGGAGTGTGTTTTGCATATTTAAACAAGTCAAAATATCATTTAAATATTTCTTTAAGCAGTGATTATAGCACTGGTCTGCAATGTATTGTTTTGACAATTGAAAAATATAATGTTTTAGGGCTTGGGTGTTGTTTTTGCTTAAGAACCTAGCATTTCATGTGGTTAGCTAATGATTCAACAGTCAATCTTGTAACAAGGAATTTTAATCTTTTCTTTTTGTTCTTAAACTCAGCTGTCTTCCAGCCAGTGACTTATTTCGTAGAGATGTGGGGAAAGCAGTAGAAAACTTAATTCCTCCTTTATTGTACAGTGTACTAGACAGAGCAGATAAACAGGTAAAATATGTTTCTTTTGTATTTTCCTTTGTGGATAACACTCCGTTAGAGTGTTGAAATATGCATATGTCATGACATTTTTTTTTCTCTTTACTATGTAGACCTTCAGGATGGATGCCATTTCCCTGCTGTTTTGTTTTGTATTTGTTTTGGTTCTTATTAGTTCTCAAATAAATGCAGAAATGAATCTGTGGTCAAATGAATCTTCAGTTCTTATATGCTAAGAGTTTGTCATTCATCTGTGCGTGGTGTTGTGATTCTGAATTGAAAAGCTTAGATTTTTCCAGCATGAAGAAATGCCAGTTCTGGCTAAAAGTCTTGTTGAACTGTGCTTTGTTTTCACATTGCATTGTGAACTGCATCTGCTATAATCTAATATATTTCTGGATTGTTATGTGATATGCCTAATCATGTATTCTGCTGTAAATATAAATAACTGTCTGATTTACAAATACTGTCATTACTGAACAGGGAATGGTAGGAATCCTTTTTTAATCTTAACTATTTAAACGGTTGCCAAATTTGAGCATGTATTTTAGACAAAAATATATATTTATGATATATATGTATTTTAGATCTTTTTCTTTCCCTTAGAACTGGTTTGTTTTATAACTAACCACAGTTTCCATCTGATTCATATTGCTATATTTGTCCTTCCTACTAGAAAAATGATAAAGCATATAGCAGTTGGTTTTTGTTCTGCTTTCTAAAATACACAGTGGACTCTGAGGGAAAAGTAAATATTCAGATTTGTGCATAGATTGCCTGTGTCTGAAGTTTTTCAAATTTATTTTCTTTTCACCAGTTACTAATATGTCCCCCAGTCACCCGATTCTTCTATGGACATAGGGAGTTTTTCTCTAATCTGCTGATTCAAGGAGACTCTTCAGGGAGGCTGTGCATTTGGAGTGTACCTGATACGCTGGAACAAGACTGTACAAAAGGTAGGTGTAACTAAGTTTTTTTGCAAGGTCTGTTTATGAGTATCTCTTTTTTGTGTGTGTTTTGTTGCTGGATAAAGCACTGCTGCTTTTCCTACAAATGCATGAAGCTTTTCTGTTGTACTCCTTCCTTTAATTGCTAGCCTCTTGTTAGAGCTGTAGTAACTTGAAGTTTTTAATATATCATCAAAATCTTATGCTGGACATCTTTCAGTTATTACTTTTTAATTGCTTTTCCCCCCCAAATTCCAGCTGTGATGTCTGGAAGTGCCATGTGCTGTCTGCCTATGTAATAACTTCTTGTAGCTTAAATCATATGCTTTCCCGTTTTCTCATGTATTGCTTCCTTGTGTAGCTTCCCTCGGGTAGCCAGTGAATTGATCTCCAAAGTGTATCTTTTACTTTTAACAAGATGTTGTAACACAGTAAAAGTTGTAACTTTGAAATCTCTTAATAAAGGCATTCCTGTTTTGGTTCTTCAACTATTTTTTTTTCTTTCTGTTTTAACAGGACTGCAAGCAACAACTTCAATATCCCTCCAGGAAGCTTTTGATAAACTTACTCCTCGCCCAGCTGGAATTATAGACCAACTAAGCTTAATACCAAACATCAAGGAACCACTGAAGGTTACAGCCAGTGTGTACATTCCAGCCCATGGGCGGCTGGTTTGTGGTCGGGAAGATGGAAGCATTGTTATTGTGCCAGCAACCCAAACTGCTATAGTTCAGCTTTTGCAAGGAGAGCATATGCTTAGGAGAGGTATGCTAATCAGCTTTTGAAAAGCACAACTGCGTTACAGTGTGTGCTTATCTCTTATTACATACATTGAAATATGAAAATACTCTTGCAAAGAGAGCAGTAAAGAGAGGAATCATACAGCTATATTCTTCATAACTCTGATGTTACGTTGTGATGAGGAAGTTAGGTAATGAATTAATTGTGGACAGTCTAAATGTATTTTTGAAGGAGGGTTCCTTCACTGGAGGAGTTCACATGTTTCTCCTGGGTTTCTGAGGTGCCATAGCACAGATAGGCAGTACATTCAGCTGAGTACTGAGGTGTCTGTGAAGATCTCTTTGGAAAAATAACACATTTAAATGAGAATTTCTCCTAGTATATAGTGTAGTTAGTGGATGTGATGCACTGTCCTGCTGTTGTACTTTTTAATGCCAGATAATGTTGCTTTTGTACTCTCATAAAACTTCAGAAAAAGTATTTGAGTCCAGGATTTTTTGCAAATGCTGGCAACTGGAAATGATGTGTGAATGTTTTTCAAGTGTACAAGTGTGTGTGTTTATATATATATATGAGGTTGTCAGTTATATCATATCATTTATACAGATGATTATTTTTAAATGTGAGTTGTTTTAAGTTGATGTGTTATTCTGCAAATGACTGTTGGTGATACTTACACTCATATAAAGTACAGAAGTGCTTCTATGTTTTCTATGTAAGATTTGCAGTTGTTGCTAGAAAGCATAATTATAGTAAGAAAGTTCAACTATGTCATACATACATTGCATGGAATACTTGACTCTGGTATTTACTTACTGACTTCCTTTTGTTAAATTGCCAACTAAAAAGGTAGTTTTCAAAACCTATTTTTCATTGGTTGAAAGGTTACAGTGATGGTGGTTTTTAAGTGATCTCTTTGATCTCAGTAGACAGACTCATTGTTCCTGCAGTATGTTCACAAAAGTTGTTTTTCTTCTAAATTTAAATTTGTCACTTGTGCCTGTTCTGCTCAGGCTCTGCTGTGGCTAGTGCTAAATAAGATTTTGCAGGTTTTTTTTATACTGCTCTCATTTGATTATATCTCTAGATAAATCAATGTTTGAGTGGGAAAAGCTTGGTATTTTTTTTTCTTTTTCCAGATCTTTGTGGAGTGTGGTGGTTTCGTTTGTTTTGTATTTTTGTTTCTGATGGGATTATTTTAGGAGGTAGGCTGTTTTAAGACAGCTGAAAATTGTGAGATCATACAGCCAGTGGAGTCATCAAGTCCATGTGAAGTTAAAACAAAAAGCAATACTATGAATCTTTTAAAGCAAGGCAAAGCAAATTCTTTAAAAACATCTGGCAGAAATGTAAGATATGTATTTCTTTTTTAATCACAGGCAATTCTCTGTTTTGTTTATTGTTCTATCAAAATTAAAAACTTTTTTTTTTTTCCTTCTTTTCCACTTTTCTCATCCCCTGACCCTGACTTTATCCCATTTCTCAGGTTGGCCACCTCACCGGACTCTCAGAGGTCATCGAAACAAAATTACTTGCTTACTGTATCCTCATCAGGTTTCTTCTCGTTATGATCAAAGGTATTTGATCTCAGGTGGTGTGGATTTCTCAGTCATCATATGGGATATATTTTCTGGAGAGATGAAACACATCTTCTGTGTACATGGTGGAGAAATTACACAGCTTCTAGTTCCACCAGAAAACTGTAGTGTAAGTTTTAAATAATATGTTCTGATAACCTGTCATACACTTTCCATAAATGCTACAGCCTCTTAAATCCGTCTTAAAAACGTGAATGCAGTATGAAATACCAAAGCTCTAGATCTGAGCTCAACTATGACCCTTACAGGCATTTAAAAATAACGTGATCGTTCTGTTCATTTTGGTTGTGTTCACATCATGATTTAGCTATAGAAATGACTAAAAATAGAAAAAATGGGTATTCAAACATGGCTAGCTAAAGAAATGATTGGCTTTATATGATGTATACAGCATTAACAGTGAGAGAGCATTTCTACCACATGAAGTGAACTTATTTCTCTGATGATGTTTGAGGCTAAGGCAAGCCACACTAAGTTAGCGTGTAGATTTTGAATGAAATTTTATTTTTCATAACTTGGATGGGCAGAAAGAATTTAATGCATGTAATGACATTGATTTACTTCAAAATCAGTGTTTCTCTTTTTTTGTTAAAGACAATTTCTTTGCTTTTTGTTTCCTTATTTTTTTCTTCCCTTCTTGTTTTCTTTCTCTTTTTGAACATTCTTCTGCTTTGTTGTCCTCACTTTCATTCCTGTGTTTCTCTAACACATTTCTTGTACCTGTGCACTGCCTCTCTCTGCTACGATGCTGATATTCCTTGGATGTACCTTTGAAAACATTTGTGACTCAACACGTTAATCTAAACTAAATGTAGATGTAAAGTTTTGAATTTAAACTGAAATATTAACACATACTCCAAGTCTAGGAAGAGTTGGAAGAAAATATAAAGGTATTAAAATTCTTTACAGAATAGTTCTTTCGGAGTGACTTCACCTGTTGGAGTATTCATAAACGTGTGCCAGGGACCCGAATGTTCTGTCTCATGGATCACAGTGCCTGGCCTTTCTTTTTTTTTTTCCTTGTTTTAGTAAGGATCATACATCAGTGTTAGGTAAAATATTTCAGCCTGTAGAGTAAAAAAAAAACAATTATATAAATGTGATGAGGTTGAGAGTAAGTATTCAGTATTTTATTTTGTCAGATGACTAGGTCTTTTTTTTTTTTCAGATAAATAAACAAATTCACAGCTGCTTCCTATTCAGATTTTAAATGTTTGTAAAACACTGATAGAAAATAATTAGCCTTTTGTGGAAAATTGAAAAGTTTCTGATGGTAAGCAAGAGCAAGAGCAAACAAATATATAACTGAGTGGCTGCACTAAACAGTTTTTGGTTCAGTGCATAATGTTTTTTCAAGGTAGTGATACTCCTCAGCCCTGCAGAGATGGCAGGCTAATCTAATAGCTTTTTGACTTTACAAGTGTGTTTGCTTCTGGAGAGTTTGGTCCAGTGGGATTCTGTTCCTAGTGATGACAGCAAGTTCTGCTGTATATTTATGTCCTTGTATTTTTCTTATAAAATGTGTTATTAATCATTATGCTTGATCCAGTGGAGATGAGAGTATTAAAAGCAATCTGTCTCCATTAGGATTAATCTGTCTTTTTTTGTTTCTTTTAAAGGCAAGAGTACAGCACTGTATTTGCTCTGTGGCCAGTGATCACTCTGTAGGTCTTCTTAGTCTGCGTGAGAAAAAATGCATCATGCTGGCATCCCGCCACCTCTTTCCTATTCAAGTGATCAAGTGGAGGCCTTCTGATGACTACCTGGTAGTGGGATGCTCTGATGGTTCCGTGTATGTCTGGCAAATGGATACTGGTATGGTTACAGTCAGATGTTGTTTAATCAATTTTCTTAATAATGTTTGGTAATCTGTGTAAGTTGCATCTGAGAGAAGTGTTAGTTTTTTTCACACTGTCTCTCCCTCCCTATGTTCTCAAAGTTTGTAGATTAAATAAACCTTTGTTAAATATGTATTTCAGTATTTAAAATGACTTGCTTAGTTTTGGAGAAGCGAACTTGTTTTGGCCTTCTTCTTCATGCTTGCTTTCCCACTTGTCAGTTTGTCAGCATGTATGCTTCCTCAGTTTGCCTGAAAGTTTGGTGTAGAAGTACAGCACCTTAAATATCATTAGTATCTTCCCCTGTAAAGTGAAGGATGGTGCTAAATTCTGTTTGTTTGTCTGGAGTTTGTCTTCCTTTCTTATTAAAGGGGCTAATCTTCCCTTTAGAAGACAGTGATTAAGACAGATTAACAGAATGGGTAGCAAGGTATGGAATTGTAAGCTTGAGTGTAAGAAATGTCTTTGTTGAAAGGGAGGAAGTGAGGAAAAAACATATGTGCTGTATGAAACTACCTTCTAATGCTTAAATTCACTTAAAGAAACAAATCCCAAACCTACGATGATACCTGAATATTATCTTCAGCTTAAAGTGAAATAATCCTTCCACTACTTGAAGGGAGCATATAAACCGGAGGGGGAATGGCTGTTTATGAGGGTGGATAGTGATAGGACAAGGGGGAATGGTTTTAAACTGAGACAGGGGAGGTTTAAGTTAGATATTAGGAGGAAGTTTTTCACCCAGAAGGTGGTAAGGCACTGGAAAGGTTGCCCAAGGAGGTTGTGGATGCCCCATCCCTGCAGGCTTTCAAGGCCAGGCTGGATGTGGCTCTGGGCAGCCTGGTCTGGTGGCTGGCGACCCTGCACACAGCAGGGGGTTGGAACTGGGTGAGCATTGTGGTCTTTTGCAACCCAGGCCATTCTGTGCTTCTATGAAATCGAGATGAGAATTTCAGTCCTCCTTGCATCAGAGAGTTGAAACTGGGTAATCTTTAAGATCTTTTCCAACCAAAGCCACATCATGATTTTTTGTTTGTTTGTTTCTGAAACTTTAGGAAACAAAAAAGAATCTGAGATCCATCATGGGATGTTTAAGCCATGATAGTAGGAGGATGGGAGTGGGAAAACAAAGACCTGACAGCAAGATTCTGCTCTATGTTGGGCCCATGCAGTGTCCAGTGTGTGTAGTACAGGATCACACTGTTTTTTTTTAAAACTTGTTTTGATCTTTGTTAGTATTTTTTTTTGCACACTTTAACCTCTTAGAAATTTGGGGAAATCCCATTCTTTCAGCTGTTAACACCTCTGAAAATTCTACACATTGCATCCCATTGTATTGTGATTTTTGGGGCATTCTGCATTGTTCTTGCTTAACCTGGTGTTTTTCACGGTGCTTGAAGGTGCTCTGGACAGATGTGTGATGGGAATAACAGCAGTTGAAATCCTGAATGCCTGTGATGAGGCACTGCCTGCAGCTGTGGACTCCCTGAGCCACCCTGCTGTCAACCTGAAGCAGGCCATGACGCGACGCAGCCTGGCTGCCCTGAAGAATGTGGCACACCAGAAGCTGCAGACCTTGGCCACTAACCTGCTGGCTTCTGAGGCATCTGACAAAGTAAGCTGTGTTCCACTTGGTCTACTTCCAGTGCAGCATCTGAACCAGTCTTCATTGTTTTAATTGAAAGAATGTTATCCAAGCCACTCTGATATTTTAATAGAAAGACCTAAAGTTGATCTGCCTGGCCTTGGTTGGGTTCTGCATTGATAGGATCATTAAGGTTTGAAAAGACTTAAGTTAATTTATCTGGCCTATCTTTATAACTTGAAAACTTGTTATAATTTCTTTTCTAATCATGGCTCATGAAAGAAATTAAAATATTTTTACATAACCTGATATTGGCCTTTTGAAATGGAAAATACCATTCTTCTTGTGAAGTGTGGGTCTACGTAATTGTCATGTCAGTGTGTGTTTAATTTGTTAATATCTCAGTGTCTGTTAAGAAGAAAAAAGATTATGAGTTCACATGCTTCTGTAAATATTTTCTTTGGTATTGCATATGAGAGGATATTTTAGGTATTTTTCACAGAATCATAGAATCACAGAATTGCCAGGGTTGGAAGGGACCTCAAGGATCACGAATCTCCAATCCCCCTGCCACACGCAGGGCCACCAACCATCACACCTAATGCTAGACCAGGCTGCCCAGGGCCCCATCCAGTCTGACCTTGAACACCTCCAGGGACGGGGCATCCACAGCCTCCCTGGGCAGCCTGTTCCAGTACCTCACCACTCTCTCTGTAAAGAATTTCCCCCTGACATCCAACCTAAATCTCCCTTCCCTCAGCTTAAAACCATTTCCCCTTGTCCTGCTGTCACTCACCTTTTCAAAGAGTTGATTCCCCTCCTGTTTGTAGGCTCCCTTTAGGTACTGAAAGGCTGCAATGAGGTCACCCCGCAGCCTTCTTTTCTCCAGGCTGAACAAGCCCAGCTCTTTCAGCCTGTGCTCATGGGGGAGGTGCTCCAGTCCCCTGATCATCTTCATGGCCCTCCTCTGGACCCTCTCCAACAGCTCCCTGTCTTTTTTGTACTGGGGGCTCCACACTTGGACACAGTACTCAAGATGGGGCCTCACAAGAGCAGAGTAGAGGGGAACAATCACCTCTCTGTCCCTGCTGATTTTTTTTTTTTTTAAATCAAGACAAGCAAGAGAATATTCTGATGAGAATTCAGAACCCTGTGATATCTATGTTTTTATTACTTCAGTCTTCTTCATGCCTGGGATTAAAATCTCCAGACAAGAGAGTAGTGTTAGATTTCACTTGTGACCATATTAAATCCTTTAGCAGGAACAGTTTTTTTCCAGACTGTAGGGGAAAACAGTTATGTCCGCAGAAGCAAATGTAAGAAGCTAAAGGTTGATGGAGGGGTAATGTGTGCTGAAAGAACAGCTGGGGTTTCTCTTGCTGATCTTTGCTCGTTAGGGATTTCTCTCACTACTCTTCTGTACAGAAGTTAAGGACCTTTCCGAGGGAAATCTACCAGGAATCACCTTTCTGACTACAGCTGCCAGGATGTAGCTAGATGAAAGAGAAGGGCTTTGTTTATTGGGTTTGTTTATTGGAATAGGAAGATAAAGCATGGACAGGCATTGGTTTATAATAAGCAGAACGGTCATTATAGCTAGGAAAGCTATGATTCTTGAGATATTACTCCTTTCCTCTTGCTAGGAAAGCTATGATTCTTGAGATGTTTTATTTCACTGATACAGACATTTAGGGATCATAATGATGAATTTGTTAAATTGAGATCATCACAATCCAAATATTGTTTTCTTTATTTTTGGTTTGGTTTTGTGTGAGAGCAAATTTCATTATATTAGAAGGAATATCCAGAAAACTGGAAAAATAGCCTCGGAGTTTTATACTAGAGAAGTATGTAAGAAGCTGTCCCTGATCTGAACAGTTTGCTCTGCTTTGAGCAGAGATTGGGATTAGAGGATCTTTAACTTCAGCATTGCTGTGACTGTCCCTTATATCTGTAAAATCAATAAATAAAGATATTCTGATTCCAGTGTGCTGCAGTTCATCATTTTTCCCTTTATAGTAGACTTCAAAGATGTTGAATTTGATTAGCCTGTTAATGCAGTGCCACTCAAAAATGTTACTGGAGTCGTAGAGAAAAAAGGTTCCATTTTTCTTTTTGTTTTTCTCTTCACTAGAAGTGCTGGTAATGTTCTAGTAGGCTGAGTTTTGACCACCAGGGAGCAGCAGAGACCTGCTTCCAGTTTCAGATGTTTTGTTTTGTTTTACTTTTTTCTCATATCTTCTATTCTACTTGGAAAAGAGCTGTCACTTATAGAGGGCATTCTTTAGAACAATGTGTGCTCAGATTTGTGCACAGTATTCCTTTTGAATTCAGTATGACTGTCAGCCTCATTTAATTATTAATGTTGTGCTTTTGCATGCATATGTTTGTGTTTTGTGTGCAGGATACACTAACATGAAGGTACTGCTACCTGCAGAGAAATGGTGCATAGCACTGCAAAATGTGCTCTGTCCCACAGGGCAATGAGGATTAATAATCAAAGGAGTTTGATTATTTTACTTCTAATTTTATAGTTTACATCATTACCAGAGACCTTGTGTAAAAAGTTTCCTACATTACATTCAAATAAATTAACTAGGTTTTTGTGATGAATAAGGAACATGTTAATAAATCAATGAATTTTAGAACAGGATTTATAATTATGTATTGACATTTAATTATTTCTCTTCGGGTTCCAATTACCTGTTACTTGCTTCTTATGGAAAGATTATTTAATAAGCATGGTATGTGTGTTCTCGGGATTTACCCGAGAAAAGCAGGAACTCTTGTCCTAGCACTGATTAAAACCTTCTTCAAGGCAACAAGTTGTCTTTTGGTGGAGGCAAAAAAGAAGAGTATAAATTTTAAGAGAAGGCTGGTCTTTGGTGCATGCAGTGCCTGAAACTTAGCTGAGGCTGTGGAAATGACAAGTACAACTCGTTACTGAGAACTGCCCTCTGAGAGTAAAGTGGGTGCAGCAGCCTACCAGGGGTTGTATTTGCTCTCCTCCACTTCTGCTCCATGGAGTGTGAATGGAATGGACACATTCTAATGTGTGCATTAGAATGTGGACATTCATCAGAATATTAGTAGCCTTAAATTGAGAGTCTGAAAATTTAAAAAGAAAAGAAAAGTAAAAAAAAAAAAAAAAGTATTGTGTAGAAAAATGAAGATTATAATATCAAATACAGCAATTTGACTAGACTAGTTTTAGGTAAATGAACTTTGGGCAAGTTGTGTTTGAACAGAATTGAAAAAGCAATGAGAGAGCACTTTAAATATATATATATATATACTTATTTTATATATATACACTTTTTCCCCCCCCTGCACATCTTGCTATGAAGCATAGAGAGGTTGTTCTTGTTCTGTTCATGAAAGCAGCTGAGTGTTTCAGACAGGTGGATTTCCAAACCTAAAGCTCATGGGTTTCTTTGAGGAGGTCAGTTCTTCTTCTGAAGATTTTTCTGTAAAAAGCAATCTCATTTAAAAACAAATATTCTGTATCTCTGAAGAGTGTAAAGTGTAGTAGCAAGAGTAAATGCAGAGTGCTTTGAGATACAAAAATCTGTGAATGAAAACCTTGGAAATTAAAATAGCATATTTATTTCTAAACTAACTTCGTACCCTAAAGCAATCAGTGAAAGTGAGATGATGAATATTATATTCCTTTGTGCTAACAGCATTTTGATGATCTTTACAGGTATAATGGACAAATAATATATGTACATCATTTCTGATTTCAGACACCTATTAATGAAATCCTGTATGAAACTGACAGTAGCCAAGTAGTTGTAGGACTGAAAGTATTTGCTGTCTTGGAAAAAGTACCTGAGAGATAAAGTAAATGCTGGGTTGACGTATACGTCCAATTTTTCAATTAGTGAATGTTAATATGTAGGTAAAGGTAAATATGTTTGCCTTTGTGATTTGTCATGATAAATGCATCTGTAAGTGTTCCAACTATAGAGCTCAGCGGTTGAAATAGAGCAGATAATGGGTGTTTTATGTATTTTTATTGGTCAGCAGGCTTTCAGTAAGGAATATTCTTGTGGTTTAGAGAATATAAGACTTCTTAAGATGTTCTCTTTGGTTCATGTCTGTGGAATATCAGGATGCTTAAAGGACAGAATAGAAGTATGTCTGAAATTAGTGTATGTACAGAATGTGCAAATGTTTGTATGAGTTATCAGTTATCTGTATAGTCTGGTTTATGCCTCTGTAGATATGCATATGTATATTTGTAAACACAGTGTATATGTAATAGCTGCAAACCTTGTTAGTTTCAAAATAACTGCTGTGAAATCTGCACTTAACATTTCTCCTTATCTAGAGTTCTGTTTATCTGATAAACGTAAGTAAATGAAATTACTGTATTTTAAGATTGTATTTTAGGATTGTAATATTTGATCAAGTCTGGAATTTTTGATGCTATGAGAATGGCAGGAAAGAATATAAGAATATTTTTCATGTTTTATGCCCATGTGATTTTTCTAACTTTCATCACCTTTCATGGATTAAATACAAAAAAAAGTGTAAGGACAATTATCCAGTAACAATTTCAAAATACTTTCTTTTTTTTTTTTTTTTCTTTTGTAGGGGAATTTACCTAAATATTCACATAACTCTCTGATGGTTCAAGCTATAAAGACTAATTTGACAGATCCAGATATACATGTGCTCTTCTTTGATGTGGAAGCACTGATAATTCAGCTGCTGACCGAAGAGGCTGCAAGACCCAACAGTGCCCTCATCTCTCCAGAGAATTTACAGAAGGCCTCTGGTGGGTCTGACAAGGGAGGCTCCTTCCTGACTGGTAAGCGAGCAGCTGTCCTCTTCCAGCAGGTCAAGGAAACCATCAAAGAAAACATAAAGGAACATCTTCTCGACGATGAAGATGAGGATGAAGAATCAATGAGGCAGAGAAGAGAAGACACTGATCCGGAATATCGTTCTAGCAAATCCAAACCATTAACTCTACTAGAATACAACCTAACCATGGATACAGCAAAACTTTTTATGTCCTGTCTTCATGCCTGGGGTTTGAATTCTGTTCTAGATGAGCTTTGCCTTGATCGTCTTGGGATGCTTAAGCCACACTGCTCAGTGTCCTTTGGCCTTCTGTCTAGAGGAGGCCACATGTCTCTGATGCTTCCTGGCTACAATCAGCCTGTAGGCAAACCATCCTATGATGACATGGAGTTGGGCAGGAAGATGTCCATTACAGAAGGATTGGGAAAGGGGACATATGGCGTGTCACGTGCTGTCACCACCCAGCATCTCCTCTCTGTCATATCACTGGCAAACACGCTGATGAGCATGACCAATGCAACCTTTATTGGAGACCACATGAAGAAAGGCCCAACCAGGTAGAACCAATGCCCCTTTTAACATGTGATGACTTCTGATTAGAGTCTCTTTTCGAATATAATGTTTAATTTTGTTTAATTTTACTATGGAGTTTGGTGTATCAAGTAGCTATGAAATCTTTAAGTACCCAGGCAACCGATGTGTTTCTTCTTTCATGGCAATAATATTTTTTTAATGCCAAGACAATGTTATTGCTTTTAATCAGGTTGCGGAAGTTACAATGTTAATATAATGGATACTGATGTTAATATGATATGTTGATGTCAGTGTTAATATAGTGCAGGGCTGAAAGCCAATTTCTGCTCTTCTTTTTAATATTTATAGGATTTAAATACATTAAAGAGTAGGTCAGATTCTAGGCAAATAAAAACATACAAACGCACATAACCAAGTAAGCTAGGAATTGTAAATGAGATACTTCTTTGATGACTGCTCTTTGCCGATCGCCTTTCAAAGTTTGTTTGGATGTGGGATCTTAGCAAATAATCTTTCCTTATTTTTCTCTCCTTTTTGCCTTTTCTTTCTTTACGCTCCCTCCTCCTCTACTTCAGGCCACCCAGGCCAGCCACTCCCGAAATGTCAAAAATGAAGGCACCTCCGTCGACAGCAAGTCATGCAGCCCAAGGACAAATTAAGCAAGGTAGAAATCACTTTCTTCAGAACAATTTTGTATGTCTTCTGAGCTCCATATGCTCAAGTCATCATGTTATTATCATGTGATAAAAATATTACTAGCTTCTACATGATTTATAAAGGTAGTGTTATATTCTAGATAAAAGTTGCAATGATTGAGAACATCTTAAGAATCAATTTAAAGTTCTGATCCCGAGTCATTGGAGTCATTCCCTGACATGGAATTTTTGCATATTTTCACTGCTCCCTAAAATTCAGACATTGAGGTGTCTGTAAGACATTCACAGTCTATAAAGCAGTGTTATACAGAATAACAGAAAAATGTATATCATACATATAAGCTGAAGTATAAAGGTAAAACATATGTAAACGCATAAATATTTCCTCTTCCTTTTTAAAAGGAGGAAGAATTTTTTTTAACACTGCTTCTACCTCTGCTGCTGTTTCCCTTATCTGTAGTTATGAAAAATGGCAGTGGATGATACTGGATTCTTTAGGAGTCTGCATTCTCTTCTATTTCATGAGTACAGTGGCTAGGTATAAAACACAGAACAATATGTGATATAAAAGAAGGATGTACATAAGGTTTAGACTTCAGTTCCTCAAGTGGTGGGAGCAGCAGAGAAGCAGTCCTGCAGAGAATGGAGGGATAATGGAGGTGCCTCCTCCTCTGCTGAATTCAAGAGCTGCTGCTCACTGGGGCAAACGAATTATTCCTCTTAATGAAAAAAACAGGTAAATCTGTGACAACATGGCATAGCCTTTTTAACTTGGGTGCAGAACTAAGGAGCAGTGAGATGTTTGCTGCAGCTGCTGGGTACACAGGCAGTGTCTGCTCATGTAATTTCTTCCAAAATTACAGTTAAAAAAAAAAAAAAAAAAAAGCTGTTAGAACTTTGCCTCTTTGAGGTACAGAGCAATTTGCAATTTGTGAAATGGTTGCATTTTGCAGAAAATAAATGCTTTGCTATTGTGGTATTTTATGGATATTTATCTTTTGTTTGAATATCCTTTTGTATATGTCCTTACATATATCTTTAAACTATGAAACTGCTCTTGTATTAGGAAGCTGGTATGCACAATAGGTAATTGACACATCAATTGTGATTTTCATCATTTGCATTCAAAAGTGAGGTTAAGTATATCCAAAGAAGAAAATTGCTTGTCAGAGGTGCTTGTGTTTGTATTCTTGTGCTAAATACAAATTTGTTTTCATCTATATTTTGAAAGAGGAAGCCAGTTTCAGGAATGATATGCATCAGGCTTTTCTTCTCATGTAGGGATGCTACAGAAGTAGAGAAGTAGCAGTCAATAACAAAAAAGTGGAAGTTAAAAAAAAACAAAAAACAAAAACAACAAAAAAAACCCCAACACAACAGTGCAGTAGGGCTCTTGTCTCTAGATCTGTTTTTTGTAAGCTGTTTACTTTTCTTTGGAAAATATGTACTAGAGAGGTCAGTGCCCAGAAGATACCATCTCTGGGAAACAAATTCAATGCCAGAAGAAGCATATTTGTCAGAGATAGCATATGCTTTTGTTTTTAACTGTACAGTTATATTGCAGTTATTCTTTCCTGAATGAAAAGAATGTCAATTTTCCTTTAAAACAGCTTTGCTCATTATGATGGTAGATGTATATAATGTAGGGTGAAAATATTTTTAACTTCATCAGAAATAATTGATAGAAATATAAATTATATGCATTGTCAAAAGTATAGAAAAATACCTTTGTTCCTTAACTGTGATGTTTTGGGATGTTTTGCCTGTGTTTGGCAGCATGGCTAGAATGCTCCTGGAGGAAGAGTTTGAACGGTAGCTTTAGGTCATACGTTTACATCCCATTGTGTGCTACTTACAGCATCTTGCTGCTCATAAATTACCAGTTCTTCTTAAAAATCAATTAGTACAGATACGATTAATGCATAGTATGACATGCTGGATGTCCATCTATTTGACCTGTATTTGTCCTGAGCTCAGCACATCTCTGTGCTGCTCTGCTATTGGGCCAGCTGCTTCCATCACAGTGATTGTTATAATTTTTAACACTCGCAGACTGAGAACAACAACAGCAGAGAGAAATTTCAAAGTCTTCAGTTTTGTTTTAACAAACAAACAAATAAAACTACATAAATTGGAGCTTATTTTCCATAAATTGAACAGCTTCTTTTATACATCTGCTGAAAGCAGTCTTTGTTGTGAAATGACTTCTGCTGCTCATGCTGTCACTGTACACGTGCCATCGTGCTGCATTCATGTGGAAGGCATGGCAAAGTGTCCCTGATGCAGATGTCCTCCAGTGACAATAGAACTTCACTGCATGAAAAGCAAACAGAAGACAATGCTTAATCTGTTCAGGAGCTTGAACCCATTGTTGTTCTGCAACGGAATAAAAGAGGGAATGACATATGGTAATTTCTCAGCAGGAAGGAAGTGTCAGATAGGGACCTCTAAAGCTCCACATTGACCTCTGGTTGTAGCGTGTGTATGCCATAAGGTCTGCATGTCTTTTCATGTGATAAAGTTCAACAATGAGCATTATGGAAGTATAATGTTTAGAACTGATTTTAAATTGCATTTGCACAAGAAATTACACAGTTTACAAAGCAAATACATCACAGCTGCTGCTTGGAGCACGTGCTTTCCTGTCAGCTTGCCTGTAGTGTTACCCTGGATGCCTTACATCCGTCTGCTTGATGTTCTCAGCCCTTTCCTCTGGTTTAGGATGAAGCTTGTTTGAATGAAGAAAAATTTAAAGTGGAACTATATTAAAACTAATCATCAGCAGTATGTTCTGTGGCATTTTAGATGAACAGGTGGGGCAGCCCAGGTTTGAAAGGGATTGTTTCTGGGTTGTTACTGTTTGGTTGTAATGAGCAGTACAAATTCTAAATCTATCTTAGGAAAAAAACCCAAAACAGAAGCAAAACTCCTGCTTTGAAATGCAGGCAGCAGTGTTGCTGACGTGAGCCCCGAGCCCCAACTTTCGAAGCTCGTAGTTGTGATCTTTTTATTTGCAAATACCTTCTTCTCAAAACATGCAGTGTTACGTTAGTGAAGCTGTTTTTCTGTAGTTGCATGTCTTCTCCTCACTGACACGCTCTGCTTCTTGTAAAGCCTAGAAGTTTGTTTGTTTGTTTGTTTTTTTAAGTTTAATATTATCACGGTTTTGTTTTTCATTCTTCAGTGATACTAATCTGTTTTTCAGAAGCTGCTATCCTCACTTTCCTATTTTTTTCTCTTTATTTCTTCTTCTTTCCTCTGCAAGTTGCTCCTGCTGTTTCTTCTAGCACTGAAGCTGGTCACTCTGGCTCTGACACTGCTCCTCCTTTACATACCTGTTTCTTAGTAAATGAAGGTATCTTTCCTCATTTTTTCTATCTATTGTCTTTTACTTTCAACTAATGTTCCTTATCATTGTTATGATGTGACTTTAATTTGTTCTTTGGAGGTATTTTTCTTTTCAAGAAATAGAGGCAATGAGTTTATTTTTGCACAGTTTGCTGTTAGGGGGTGAACAGATGTGGTTTGTCTGTCCAGGACTTTCTGTCAAAGTTCAGTTCTCAGTGGCCATGTGAAAGGTTGGATTTCAGACTGTCTTGTTTTGCTGTCGTTTTTTGGCAAAATAATGAACCTTTTTAAAGGAAGAATGTGAGTGACTGAAGCCACACCATGCACAGTTCATGTCCCACTGCTGTACTTCCACGTGGGTACAGCTGCTGCTTCTCGGTGCAATGGCTCAGCTCCATCTGGAGCTTGGGGACCTTCTGGGACTGCCTGTGACACAAAGGCACAAACCAGGAGGCTAAACCTTTTGTGGTGCTTTATATTCAGAGATGAACCAAAATCAGCTTCACATCACTTAAATCTGATTTGTAGTGCTTATGAAGACAGAAACTGTTCAATTAGACTACTTGAGGTTTGTGTTTATATTTTTTATTTCTAATAGGTGTTTATCTCCATTGTGAAGAATGACTTTCTGCCTTAAAGATTGGCACACACACAAATAACCTAACACAGACCAAACTAAGCCACTACTCCTGAATCACTGCAGGAAGTTTGTTTTAAACCTTTGCTTTTGATGTCTTATTGCAAAGCCATAAATTTTTGTTTTTCAAGTATTAAATGTTCTGTTTATTATTTTACTTGTACCATCATGAAAAACTTTGGTAGTTAAAATACTGAGATTTTTGTGTTCACCATTGCTGACAAATTAAAAAAGGAAAGCTGTATGCTCACAGGAAGTATTTCTCATGCTTCTCAAGTTGAAGTAGATCATAATACTAAGAGCATGTTTTTGGTGTACATTACAGGACTTTTTAGACTGTGTTGTTTGGGTTTGATAGATTCCTCTTTACAGCTTTTAACTAGATAATATTGCAGGCTTCCAGTGTGAAGCAGGATTTAGATGGGAAGAGTGAGGGTAGTGGACAAATGTGTGCTATGATATGCTGGCATACCTCCTTAAAATGTCTATGATCTTCCTACTGGTAATTTATATGATTAGCTTTCTTTAAATGAATGCCATCAAACTTGCATGTAGGATATTGTGTGAAAATAATGGAAACTATTGTTTCAACAGATCACTGAAGATGGTCTTGAACTCAAGAGTATGGCTTGTGCTTAGGAGCTTTTCAGTATTTAGTGTGTTGAACATACTGTGAGTGTTGCAAGTTTGAAATTCAAGCCTGTGATTCAGTGCAATTATACTTCCATTTTGAGAGAGGATGAAAAGAAAGAGTTTTTGATGTGTTCTTTTGTGTTTGAACAGGGTGGAGCCAGCTTGCTGCCATGCACTGTGTGATGCTCCCCGACCTGCTTGGTCTGGACAAGTTCAGGCCTCCTCTTCTGGAGATGCTGGCTCGCAGGTGGCAGGACCGCTGCCTGGAGGTGAGTTCATAGGATTGCAGAATTGCAGACTGGCTGGGTTGGAAGAATCCCCAGAATCCCCCAGCACCACTCCACCATGATTGCCCTCTGCAGCTCAGGCTGCACGGGGCCCCATCCATGTCCTTGAGCTCTCCAGGGGTGAGGCACTCACACTTTTCTGAGTAGCCTGCAGTAATTTTCTGTTGATGGTTTTTGTTTTTTTCCCCCCCTAATGCTCAATTCTAAAAACTCCAAATAACATGCTTTCAAATATCAGTCTTTTAAAGTCTTTGTTTATTTAAGTGACACATTGTTTTAGATGAGAAATGCCTTCTGTGATTTGCCACTGGATGGCAGCCTTGCTCCTCTGCAACAGAAGCAAATCACTGAGGGAGTTCTCAGGGAAGCCCAATTCCCAGCAGCATAACATGGGGGCACAGGGAGGAGAGGCTCTGTACAGGTGTGGGAGCAGAGGCAGAAGTGATTCATGCGTTGCAGTATTTGAATGCTTTGTTACTTTGGTTTTTATTTAAGCAGAGTGCAGCTTTATGTACCTGTCTGATGTTGATGGCTTTTACTATGCTAATTTTTCCTTAATATAAAAAGTACTTTCTGACACAAGTGCTTGTAGCTGCTGATTCTAGATTCAGCAGATCAGTTTTCCAGTTAACCTCTTTCAAAATGTTGAAAAAATGATTGTGTCTCTGTGTATTTGTTTGTTTATTTGTTTGTTCTTACCTTTTCTGTGACATACACTGTATATATATCTTTCTAATGAAATTCCAGGATTAAAATTTCTCATATTCCATTATGAATCTATAGGATCAAAAACTAACCTTTTTTTTTTTTTTTCTCAAGAGACTGCTGAGTTGCTTAATTTGTTGGAGCTTGTGTACAGCAGTCAGTAAGTGGTTTGTCACCAACAGTGTGATAAATGACTGCTAGGCCTTAACACTACACCTATGCTACTGTGGCAAAAATTTCGTTGACTGTGCAGCTTTCAGAGTAGGAAAGAAGGAACAGAGCTGGATTATAGGCTGTAGGACTTCAGCGGTCTTGTAACTTAATGGGGAATAGGCTTTTTGCTATCTGGGTGCCTGTTCTTCTGCTAGATAGGATATACTGTGAGATGGTTTTCTGAGAGGATAATTGCTTTGAAACTAATTAGGATTTGTAAGCAGGTAAGCAGTAGGAGTCCAGTTTCTGGATATCCTGATGTGTCAAGCTAGCGTTTTGCTGATCCCTGCTTGCCCGCAGTTTTCTGTCTTACCTTGATCGAGTTGCATAAGTTCTTTGTGTGTATACATTGCTCGGTCTTCCACACTGCACACAAATGAGATTATTTCATTTGAAAACTGTTCCTTGGGGATTTTTGTTTTGCTATGGTATTCCTACATCCACCTTTGATTTTAGAAAAATTATTTATTTGCTGCATATCTTGGAATTCTGGAAAACTTTTGTTAGAAAGAAGGCTGATCACAAATTATTTCCTGAAAATTCAAATTTTGGTGATATTTTAGTGCATCAGTGCTACTTTTCTATGGCAATTACCATTTCACTTGATGGAATGTGAGCCACCTTATTTCTTTCAGTGGTAAACCTCAGTTTCTGTTCACTTCGGGGGATTTGAAGTAGCCTCTTTGCTGAGGAAGGTTTTCTCAGTGCCTATGGCTCTGTTATGTCCTGTGTTGGGAGTCACCATAGTTTGGGGTTGTCCTATTTGTGGCCATGTTGTTTCTGTAGTTAAGTTGGAAAGGAGCAGGGAAAAATGAGGGTTTTCTAAAAACTACATTCATTTTTTTTATACAAGATTTTTTTTTTTCTTTTAAGTGATGCTTTTTGTTGTACTAGCTAAATTATACTGATAGCATATTGATAAATATTTCATGTTTGAGTTTGTGATGTTTTGGTTGATTTATAGGTAAGAGAAGCTGCCCAGGCCCTGCTGCTAGCAGAACTGAGGAGGATTGAACAGGCAGGCCGGAAGGAGACCATTGATGCTTGGGCTCCATATTTGCCACAGTACATTGACAGTGTCATATCACGTAAGTAACTGTGTGACTAATGGGAAAATAACTCTGTTGATAGATAAAGGGGAAAAAAGGAATCCCATAAACCAATTTATTAGCAGTTCTGCCAACTTAGGGAAAGAGTCATTTGAGTTATGCATGAAAATTCCTGGAAATTTTCTAATTTCATAGTCATGAAATTGCTTGGGATCCCTAATGTTGATGAGGTAAATAGAGCGTTTCAGTGCATTTCACTGGGAATGCAGTGTCTTTTGCAAAGGCTTTCCCTGGTATTGAGGGGCAGAGCTGCAGTTTGGAGATTTCAGAGAAGAAACCTACTTTGGAAAAGGCCGGTATAATTACCAAAGAGTCTATGATAAGATTCTAGAAATGGTTATGAAGGGATTCTTTGGCATCCCCATAGCATAGAAGAATTCTGAGAGGAGTTAATGCAGTTGTGTGTAGGAGATGACCTTCACTGTATATTGGACATTTGGTGCAACTCTTGCCTCATTGGGTGTTCAGAACCAATGGTTACCCAGGGCTGCAGGGAGATACTGGATGAAGATGGCTCTACAGTTATCAAGGATTCATTAGACAGTAATTTATGGTGATGGTTAATTGGGTGAACATGAGATTACAGTATTTCCCTTTGAAATGCAGAACATTTTTTTACCTTATCACATTCATAAAAGTCTAAAACTGTAAGTTAATGGACTTTAGGGCATTAGAAGGTTAAGCTCATTTTGCAGAGTGGGTGTGAAAGATGCATCTTGCAATGTTCTGCCAAGATTTCTTAAACTGTACTAGAAGTACATAAAGAATGAGAGCTGTTCCTTTCTAATCTCTCTTGCAATTTATAAAATGCATGTAGCAGTAAGTCATTTCCTCCAGCCTTCTGCAGTCCCTTTTTGGTAATTTCACACCATCGTTCACACCATCCTCCTGACTTGGCTTTGCTTACTGAAATGCCAGATTAGATGTGCTGTTACCAGCTCCTTTGAATCATGTACTCTTCCCTTTTCTATTTTTCTCTATATGTTTCCTTCCCCTTTTCTGATGTCATATGTGTTAACACAATCACTTTATTATTTGCTAGGTCTCCTTTCTTTGCATACTTACTAGAAGGTAATTTAAAATACTGCTGCAAATGCAATTCTCCAACTATTTTGTTTGTTTAGTATGCTTGTGAGAGAAAGCACTGGTTTTTCTAACAGTAATGTTTTTTAGCATCTTCATGACCTCATTTCTTTTTTGTTGGGTAAAGGCATTTGAGGAAATCAAATGAATTACTAAAGTACAAATTAAAAAACGAACAAACAAAAACCCTTAAAACTGAAACAAATAGTATTTTGATTTCATGATGGATCTGACTGAATTAATTTTAAATATCACCTGATCCCTTTTGACAAAATACTGCCAGTTAAAATGTTCTGCTTGTAGGTGAAATGATAAAGGGCACTTCTTTTAAGTACATTTCCTGCAGCCTATGAAAATCGCGTATAGTTCTGAATGATTGACCTTATTTGGAACACTTGGCTCGTGGGCAGAGAAGGATTTTAACAAGATTTAATGTTATCAAGGGCACAAGTCTTCTGCGTACTTTGAATCATCAAACATACATATTTACCAAACCATCAGGCTTCTGACCATGATTGTATACAAAAATCTGGAGTAATACAGTGATATGTTATATAATGTTTTTTTTTCTTCACATAAATTAAATCATCACAGACCACTGTTTGATCTGTTACATTTTTCTCCAAAAATATGTCTCCGGCTATGTTCGTATTATTCATTCTTATTAAAGCAGGTATTGTGCAAACTCTAAGAATATATTATTGCAAGGTCAATCACATCATGCAATACACCATTCACTTATCTCCATGGGCTTTCCTTTCTAGAATGATGTACAAACACATCTGCCATATGTAAGAAAGCAGTAAAAATATAAATGTGTTTTTGTGAATGAGAATGTTTCTTTAAAAGTAAAGCAGCAGACATTCATTTTCCTTAACTGTGATTCTTCCACTGAAGAATGTAGCTTCTATTCAGGGAAGGATCTCTATCAAACACAATTGATTTTAGAGAAATGTGTAATAATCTTATTAAATCTAAATTGAATGCATAAATTTCACAGGATGAGGTATGTTCAGGTGGTGCTGAGGATTTGTTGGTGAGGCAGAGCTGCTGTTAATTGCAGCCTTTAGGCATGCAGCCTTTGCCTTATAAGGGTGTTGCTGCTCAGCCAGCTGTGCAGCCAGACCATGAGCGAGGAGTGGGAGTGTGCTTGTACGTACATGCCAAAGAGCCTCCATTCAAACTGGTGGAGATTGGTGCTGTTCTGAATATTTGGATTTATTTTTCAATTGCTCTTCTGGTAAGACTGGTTTGCTCAGTTTTATAGCTTTAGCTGCCCTTCAGTCTCACTGTAGCTGCTATAGCAGCTGTTGATGAGCACTGATTTCTCTGCAGTGAAACAGAATGACTGTGTTAGGTGCAAGGTTATGGGCACAGTCTTGCTGTTGAAGTTGTATGTAAGGCACTTTGTAGGGCCTCTGCTTCCAAATCAGGAATTACCACTTAATCAAACTCACACTAATCCCAGCATTCTCTATTTGTGGTACTTCTCATTACATAAACTGGACGACTGAAAAGAGTATGCAGTTGTGTTCCACATGTGCATAGCTGGAAGTGGAATGTTTAGTTCTGCTCTTGTGCCTGTGCTCAGGCTGTAGGCATGGCATGTGTTCGTACAGGAATTGCTAAAGATGGGCTGGTGGAAAAAAAAAAAAAAAGCCAATTTTCTGTACATATTTAATTCAATACACAGAGTCTGAATGCATACAGCAACACTTTGGCATTTTTGTTAGTTATTAGCAGATCAAAACATAGCATTTGTTTTTAAGGATGCACTTATCTATCAGAGCAAACAAGATTTACAACAGGAAAAAGTAGGGAGAAATCAAATGAGGAGTATGGGTGAAAGCAGTGATACAGAAAATGTATAAAGCAGATAATTACTAGCACATTGGTATTATGCCTGAGTTTGTGGTTCTGAATGGCAGAGTTGGAAAGCTGTTTAGCAGTGGTACTGGCCATGTGAGCATCCACAGAGGTGCTGGCACCCTGAGGAAGAACGGTGATTGTGATATCAGACTGGAATAATGAAATTAATGAGGAGCTGCAAAGCTTGCTTTTGTAGGTAAAGTATACAGACGTTCCCTTAGTTACAGTACAGCACCTGATAAAAGTTGATTCCCTCCCCAGATCTTTCAAAACAAGGACTGAGGGGATAAAAATTACTTAGAACGGCCCAAATGGACGTGGTGAGTTTCTGAAACATACAGCTTAGTGCTGGAAAGGCAAGCAGAAGGAATATGGTATAGTTCAAGGATTACTGCTCTGTTTCCTTCATCCTCCATGTCTTTGCATGTCCTCACTTAATAGGGAGGCGTACAATATTATCAGCACGTTTCCCTCCAGCCCATCTTACTGCATTGTAAGAGGTCTTGTATATGTGATATGGAAAAAGTGCTTTTCTTTGACATGGCAGGTTCCTTTATAAGTGAAACAAATGTAACCACTAATAGAAGCTTGTTGCTGATACCTTTAGTCATATGCATGTAATTGGCTCTTGAATGTCTCAGGAGTGTGGTATTAGCAAAGAGAGGTGAAATCTTCTATTTGTATATCTGTACAGATCCAAGAGCAACTGGGGGCAGGACTGTGCTTGTTGAGATGTAGTGAATGTGCGTGCCTCTCAACTCTTTGATGTGCATGGAAAGAGCAATGCAAATTTGCACTGGATTGTCCTTTAATAATTTTTTATCTGCAGGAGAGAGCACTGTGAACCATGGAGATACGAATTCTTAGAGCTTGTGTTTGAATCATGTTGCCATTTAATGGAAAAACTGTATGCTTATGCAGGTTTTATTCCCATACCTTGTTTTGAATTTTGAGGAACTCAGTGGAGTTAGATGGTGCCCCAGAGCACGCTGAATAGGGCAAATTAGGAGCAGAAATGTAATCAGCGCTTGGAGGTGTGCTCATTTCCTGATCACTTTGTGTAGTGATTGTACAGGAGTGCAATTGTAGATAGCCCTTACCAGAGAGATCAGCCAATTTGTATCACGTGTATTATCCCCTCCTTGTTTCTGAGTAGCCAGCTGAGAGAATTATGGCTTTAAAGGATAGGCAGCAGGGTCAGGTGGATTCCTTCTTAAAACTTAATTCCTGTTTCATATCAATTTCTCATTTCAAGCCAAACTTTTTGATGTACAAAATCAAAGGGGAAACCCTGCATTATTTATTCTCAATCCAGAGCATGTTTATTGAGCTAGTCGTGTCTATAGTCTTACATATAATTATATTATAGATATACAATATTATACATGTTATATTTGTAGTCTTTTATATTCAGCTGTTAAGCTGTGGATTATGAATATGAAATGGATGAAATGAATGTGACATCATGATTTGAAAATGTTGCTGCTGGTTTAGCCATTGATATTTTTCAGGCTTGCACATGATGGTAAGCTTTGGAAGCTCCATGTTGCATCTGCTAAGGTTGTCACGTAGGCTTTACCTGCTCCTTGTTTTCACAACATGTGATTGTTTCTGCACAGTCTGTAGTGCATTCTCCATGAGGAACAGTTTTCAGCTCAAAAAGAGAGAAATGTCACCTCTGTTACCTGCTTATTTTGAAGAGCAAAGATTTCTCCAATGCAAGATAGATTCTGCAAAGGAATTTTTTTTTTTCCATTTCTAACAAATTTCGTTGCTGAATGTTGTGTTCCTACTTATTTATTTTTCTGTTGTTCAGTGTAATGTCTTCTGAAAACGTTGAGGCGGGTGTTTCGTAGGGCCCCGTGCAGTGGAACCCCCAAATGTTCCAGCATGAAGTCTGCCCACCCAGCAGTGCAGAGCCCGATGTGTTTTAAAATACATGGTGTTACTGCAGATACAAAAAAGGTTCCTATGTCTTTAATGGAAAGCAAAAGGTTATCTGGCCGTGCCCTTTGTGTGCATGCTGCAGGCAGGCAGGCACTGTGCACTGGGAGCTGCCAGATCGATCGGGTGCTGTGTACTGAATTAATTCCAGGCAGGAATCTGCTGCCAGTGAATGCTGCCTGAAAATTAGGTCTGGATGCTGCTGGTGCTTCCCATATTGCTAAAACCTAATGTCTTCATCAAATTATTATTTCTTGTAAAGTGGAAATGTTAAATAATGTGGCAACATGAAATTCAAGAGAGAACAATTTAAGAATATGTTTCTAAATTTCTTTACTTTGATCATAACCCATTCTGATGACAAAAATAAGCATGATAAGTCTATAACAAATGTGATGTTGTTATTTTTATTAATGTATTTCTGGTAAATATATATCTCTGTAAGGAAGTTTTACTTAAAAAAAGATTAATTGAGTAAAACATAATTAAACTTCAGTTGATTTAAATGGGAATTTTCACTTAGTAAGGACACTGCGATTAGGCCTCAAAGACTGCTGTATATCCACGTGGTTGGTCACTCTGCTCCTGCAAATTCTTACTTTGCTGAGCACAAAGGAGTAAATGAAACAGATTTGCACAGCACTATTTTGGTGTAGTAATAGAAAAATCAATTTATGATACTACAGTAAATGACGAATTGTAATCATAGAGTAATAGAATCATTTGAGTTGGAAGGATCCCTTAGAAGTCATCAGGTCCCGCTCACTGCAGTGCACAGGGACACCCACAGCTCCAGCAGTGCTCAGAGTCCATCCAGCCTGATCTTGGCTGTCTGTAGGGATGGGGCACCACCACCTCTCTGTGCAGCCTGTGCCAGGGGCTCACTGCCTTCCCTGCTTTTAGTTTGAAACTATTCCCACTTGTCTTGTCACAGCAGACCCTGTTAAAGAATGTCTCCTTATTTCTTAAAAAAGCCCCCCTTTTGATTTTGAATGGCTGCTCTCAATTCTCGCTGGAGCCTTCTCTTCTCCATGCTGCACAGCCCCAGCCCTCAGCCTGTCCTCATATGAGAGGTGTTTTCCATC